GTTCACTATTTGTTGGCCGTTTCGGTTGCAATGTGGTAACCACAATGTACGTGAAGTGGCGATGGGACAGCGAACTGGCCAAATGCTCATATGCGAGTTGTTTATGTTGCCGTTTTGGTTTTTTGGTTACTGTTTGCTGTTTTGTTGTTGTGCTGTTTTTGTTTTATTTGTTGGCCGCGCAACTCGTTGTGGCCCTGGCCCGCATAAATTGTTGCCGCTTTTGAGTTTAAGCCAACAGTTTGTTTGCTGGTCATCCGACACTCTCGTCCTCACCACCGTTAGTTAATTGCCGTTGCCGCTGCAACATGATTGCACTTATTGGTCAGCGGCATAATCAAATGCGCAACTTTTTGGCATGAAAGTTTAATTGGAAAGCTCGCATGTGCTCGCATTGGAAGCCATGTGATATGGGGTGAACTGCCTTTGGAGCCAAACTAATTCCAACTCATAATTAAGCCACTTGCTAGCTGAGTTGGCCCCCTCGTAATCAGGCTTTTTCTTCAACCCTGGCTCATTAAAATGGCAGCAGCCAGCAGCTAGCAGCCAACAGCTCTCACCTTACACAGTTGATGCTGGGATATTTTATGTAATTTCTTGGAAATGCATACCAATGCACCTCCTAGTCGGAGGTGCTAACTCAATTTGCCTGCTCGTGTAATTGCAGTCAAACTTTTGTTCGCCTAATTGAGGGCATCATCATCCCTTCTCGCTCAGAAAAGCTGAGATGGAAGTCAGGGTAGGAGGAGACAGCGGGTTATTCCTAATTATAAGTCAGATTAAAGTTGACCCACGCCAAAAGGAGTCATCGTGCTGGGTGAAGAACACTTTGTGTTTAACGTTTCATTTAATGTTTAGCCAAACTTACTCGGTCACATAAATCAATGCCAAACAACAGGCCGGGGGCTCCCATATGAATACTCAAGTGTCTCGCCGAGCAACAAATGGGACAAATTTCCATTTCAAGCCAATGCCGCATAAATGGCACATAATTTACGATACGAAGAGGAGAGGAGCGGCAGAGGCAGCTAACCAAACATGCAGCTAACTATCCAAAAGCTGGTAACAATATTAGTTAGCAAGAGCGGCAACACCAACGCAGGCTACAGCCTCACACTCGGAAAAGAGCTTTGTTAATTCAAAAATAGTTGATAAATAACATTTTCTGATCTATATTTTAAAGCTTTCAAGGGGAATCTTAACTAGAAATACATTTCTTATTTATGCCGTAATTGATTTCTAAAACTACAGCTAAACTATAACAAACCCTTAAGGAATTAAAGAAGAATTAAAAATATTTTAACATTAAATATAATTAAATTAGTTTATGAAGTGGCATATATACTTTTTATATAAATTTGGAAAAAGGTTTTTGTTTTCCTTAAAGTTCAATGCTTTCAATATTATCCTGGGGTTTAACATTCCCAAAAAATATGTATTCACAGAAACCGATTTAAATATTCACTCGATTGAATTTTTAGATTTTTTTAGATATTAAGATGGGAATAAACTTTATGTAAGACACACTTTGAAATTGGATATCCTCAAATGGGTTTTTAAAACTTAATTAAAATCCTCAGTCTTCTAATATACACTCGGAAGAAAGAATCTTCAAAAAGTACAAGTGTAAATGAAAAACGAATAAAATTAAAGATTTTCAAGCCTTGTAACATGAAGTTTAAAATATATCAATATATTTTAAAGATGTAGATTTCTATGAAAAAGATTTCGAGATTTTCCCTTAGTGTATTGGCACCATCGGAAACAGAGTAAACTTTACAGTTGTGTTGGTGGCTGGTTGTTGTTGTTGGGAATTCCCGCACCCGAAGCTGGCCGGCGTCAATGTGTGAAGTAATTAATTACAAAGCAACTGATGTGTATCTGTGTGTGTGTGTGGGTCTCCGTATGAGAGGGTGTGCGTGTGGGTCCTGGGTTTTGGATTATGATGCATGATCATATATGTTGCTGCACGCACACTAGAAACCCAATCCCCACACGCACACTTTGGAAGAGATAGGTAATGCTATCTGGGCATGAGCACATGTACATATCCTCAACATCCCCACACCGCTCTCGTTCTCAGCCTGGACTTGCAGTGGCCAAAAATTAAATTGATTTACACCTGAGGTGAGAAAACGGATTGGATGACCAGGCCCAAATGCATTTCGGTATTGGCACAAAGCAACCAAAGATTTTCCCATCGACTGAACTGATTTGCCTAACAGAATGATCGTAATGAGTTCACTGCGAGAAATAAAATGCAATTGCAAGGTAAACATTTTTATAAATCCTAAGTTTTTAAAAAAATATGTGAAAAAGATGTGAATATTCTATAACTAATAAATCCTTTCCAGAAAATAGGTTTGAAGTTTAGGATAACTTTTTAATCATTATCTAAGATTTCTATTTTGAATGTCTGATTTCTTAATTTAAATATCTTCCCTAATAGTTTATGTTTTGTTTTCCAAATCGTTTGATTTTAACATTAATTTCCAGTGCATCCTTTTCCAACCCATAATTAAGATGTAAAATGGAAAACTTCGTTTGTATATGCCTCATTATAATCATAGTTTATGAATGTTTGGTGTGTCGTGTTCCGTTTCCCCGCCCTCGTCGTTGGTCATAAAATTCATATATGATTACGATTCCCATATAAATTCCAGACGCACAATGATTCCGTTTCCTTGAGGCTAATCCCAAAAGCCGAGCTAAGGGTATTCCACATTAGCACGGCAACTTTAGGCGTTGTCTGCCGTCGGGCGGCTAATTGTGCCCGCAACCAGAACCCGTCTTCTCTCTAAGGGCCCTTCGATTTAAAATTGCGGCGCGGGACCTTCAAGGATATTTATGAATCCCAAACACGTGACAGAGAATAAAAATTCAGAAGGATTCGGGATTCGGGCGGGGAGTATGGGGTGCATTTAAATTAATCACAGTAAAAGCGAATTGCCCAAAACAATGTTATATCCCGTGCAAGGTCCTTTGGGGAACGGAAATCTGTAAACCGTGACGAGACCAAAACCAGATCCTGCCACTGTATGGGTAGCCATGTGTCTGTATGGTGCTCTCTATTTGTTTGTTTGTGTGCGTGCGGTTGCTCAAATTAAAACAAAGTGTCGTGCGTTTGATGAAAATGTAACGCATTTTGCTCAGCCAGCCAGCGACGCACATAAATGCTAATTGGCTTAAATGTATACGTGTGTCCCCGTCTGTAACTGTGGGTGTATGTGTGTTTGTGGGAGTGTTGGTATTGGTGTTGGTGATGGGGGTTTTTGGCATTTTGGGGAAACGTTTTTCTACCAACGCCAGGTGTTCAAACTTAAACATTTTATAGTTCGGTTAATTGTCAAAGCCGTGGCAAGAGTCAGCCAAAAGTAAAAGGGTGCGCCGAACATTTGATGACTCAATTATTCGATGGTTTTTGTGGTTATTCTGGGGGAAAATGGGTGCTGGTACAGTGGTACACCGCGGGTAACGCCGCGTCCACAAATCAGCAGAAAATTGTAAATTTGAGTTTGGATTTGTTGCTTTCAGGAGGATTTCTGTTTGCTTCTATCACACATTTTCATTCAAAAGTTTACTCTTCCATCTTGTTAGGACATAAAAAGGGTTCTCATTACCTACTTTTTTCAGTGTAAGCTTTCCTTAGTCTAGATGAGGCTGGAACCATTTAGGCAGCTGTCGCACTGATTAGCATGACCTCTACGTGATTCCATCCCCAAGAAGGAGAAACTGTGACTGGTGAAGAAATGAAAAGAAAAACGTAAGGCGGTGAAGAAAATTGAAAACAAGTGAAATAAAGTGATTGGCCATAACATTTGCGCGTACGCGTGCATTTTCCATTCTAAGAGCTTGGCTTTTCCCCTTCCATTTCCCTTCGCATTTCCCGACTCGCCTGCGCCTTTGTGTGCCCACAATTCTATGCTATTTTTATGTTTATCTGCTTCACTCCATTACGACTTTATGCTCTTTAGCAGACAATCAACATTGTTGCCTCCGCCACCCCCAAAAAGCACCCACTTTCCACCCCTTGGGGGCTGCGCTATAAGGGTACCGTTTACTGGGCGGACAATGCCCGTGCGAAAAATGCAAATTGCGAGTGGCGGAATGAAGTGAATGGCGCCGAATGATGGAATGTTGGAATGATGGGAGGAATGAATGAATGAGTGAGTGATTGTTGCTCTGAGCCAGACATTTAGAGGAATTTGCCCTGCGCCGTCTTGATAAATAGCAAAAGCTTGGCCTAGCTTCAACTTGGCCTCCCTCATATGCCATAATTTATGCAAATTAATTTATAAAAAATATATGTATGTTTGTACTTGTACAGCCATCCATGGCCGCGGACATATTTCATGCAAGTGCGACAATTTTCCCGGCAAGTACATAAATATAGTGCGCCTTAAAGTAGACTCATTTATATGGCTTTATACTTTATGCGTAATTTCAGGCGCTGACATTTATGATGTATGCCACATACAGCTGCATTCATAGTAATAGACGTGCCAAGTGGTTTTAGATTGAGCACTAAAAATCAATTTGATTGAACATAAGTTCTATTAAGTCTCTATAAAATAATTCATATTTTATTGACAAAAGGTAGAGTGGATAAAAGTAAAGTAAGTCTCTTTAACTCCTTTTTATGGTGGAATTTTGTGCTTTAAATAATTGAACACCTGAATCTTAAAGCTTTATTAATGTAAAAATATATTGGTATAGTCCTTACGGCCTTATACTAGCCATCTCCTGCCTGTAGTCATGAGCTATTTAGCTTATAGTCCTCTTATTTTTACTTATTTAAATCATATAGATCATATTAATCCTGCTCCTATTGCCATGAGCACAGCTGTAAACATATTTATGAACCTTCAGTTAAGTTGCCGTGACGACTGACGAATGGCTGGACTGCCCTGTGGCCTGTGAATGGAAGTCAGACTGAAAGTCAGACAGGTATTCGTTTGCCTGGCCGAAAGTCGTCATGTGAATTTGATTCGACTTTCTCGGCATCTAGTGGGCGACCACATTAAATTCATCTAGAGTAGAGTACCAAAATTCTATAGCTTTAAATTTGTGTTGGCCATAGTCTCTGAAAGTGTTTGTTAAAATGCCCGAAAAACCGGCTGCCAAGTCTACGCCGAAGCCCCTGACCAGCATCAAGGGGACCAGGGCTTCCACCTCCTCATCCAATCCCGCCTCCACCAGGAGCAGACCCACAGGAACTGGCGTGGCTCGTCCTCCATTGCCCAATACACATGATAGGGTAAGATGTCTTAGCCATTTAGCAAATGAGTATGTAATGGCTGAATTAATCTCTGTACAGCAATGGTTACTTCAGTCGAATCCTCAGTTAATCTCTTAGAATTTTCTTATTTAGTTCTACTATTTCTATTAAATGTATTATTATACTCTATTTTTATTTGAGCTTTGTGTTAGAAAATACCTTTTTATTAGTAACAAAAAACCTTAAATTGATTTCACATTTTATAATGATATTTTTATTTGTATTTTAAATCATCTTAATAATAATAAAATGTTCTATTTTAGTCTTATTTTATGATTTATCTAGCCGTGAAAACTGATTTAGATTCCCTATGTTTTAGATTATTTTTAAACCTATGTGATTTTTTTAAAATATATTTTAAAATTTTTATTTTTACAGATTTGGAAGATCATGAAAATGTAAATTTCTGTCCTTTCCGGCTGAATCAACATTTTAAGAACCTGATATTATTTTTATTATAAAATGCATTTTAAAGGAAATTATAACCTTTGGCAGCGCTGAATAAAGCGAAAAAGTCCCACAAAGGAAATTACTCTTATATTTCCCTGATTCGCTGACTGGAAGTTGGTGGAAGCGCCTGCGCTGGTCTTTAAAGAGAAATAAGGGATATTTACATTGAAGGGCAGTTTTCTCTTATCGAGCTTCGACTTTTTATCTCAATTCGCCTGAAGCTGGGTTAGAGGTAAAAAAATATTTAAGTCAATAAGAGTCTTAACTGGCATTACTTTAACTATAAGGAGCTTATTAAAAATGACAAGAAACTTGCCTGTTGGCCTTTTGAGTGTTACTTAAAAGTTACAGAATAGCCTGCAGGAAATGTGAGTTATTTATTGCTTTGACTTGCTTTAGCTTGTCAAGAAGTTAAATTCTTATGTTAAGTAAAATGAAAACTTAACTAATAAAACAAGATTATAATTCAAAAATCATATCAGAATCAGAGGAATATAACTAAATATAATAAAAAAGCAATTAATCGGTTTGAATTCTAAAAAGCTCAATAAAATAAAAATATACAAAATAGAAAGTTCCAAGAAAAACATTTTATAGAGGTTTCCACTTTCAAAGCATCCTTCTGCCAGGGCCAGAATGCAAAACAGCTTGGGATAGGCCCACTTCTCAGGTTGCTTAAATGCAATTTAAACCAAAACAAACTCAAACTGCCGACAGGCTCTCTTAGCCGAGCTCGTGCCATTTTTACTTTCATTCGGCGGTTGAGTGGAAACGACTTGGGTCGTCCGAAGGACTGGCACGACGAGCGGAAAAATCCCCGAGATGGAATCGACCGAGCCAAAGGACATTTTGGTGCTCGGCAGCGTTTTTGCCAATGCCGTGGCTCAGTTTCGTATTCGTGTCGGAACGTGACGCTACGGTCTTCTGCTCAAGGATACGCGAAAATCCAATCCGCTGGAGGAGCAAAACGCGGCGCGTGGAACCCAGAAACCAAAAGTACAACAACAACCAACCAACCAACCAACCAACAAGAAAAAAAAAGAAAATAAAGAAAAGCAGCAGGAAAAGCACAACCGATTCGCTCGAGTGTGCCCGTGTGAGAGTGTGTGAGTGCCGCAGTATCTGTGTGAGTGGATCGGTGCCGTGTGTTTGGGGCCGTTTAATTTTATTATCGCTCCGCGATGCGTCATGAAAATTGCAGGCAAAACACAGAAATACAATAAATGAAAAATTAAATATTAATTAAATTTTGCATACGAATCGAGCGGCGAATGTTGCGATTCCGCTGATTGAAATGTTAAATAGATATTAAAAATTGATGGTGTATTTCGGCCAAACAGTCGGATAAGTCAGGCTGAGCGGTTGCCCCCTGCAGAATATATATATATAGTATATATTGGCATCTTAACCATCGGGTGTGCGTGTATATGACTTTATTAAATTGTAAATCCCCCAACTCGCGCGTGTTCTTACACATTGTTTGTGGACTTTTGCGACTGCTCCAGATTTCCTACCCATTTGTTGTTGCACTTATCGCGATTGCCGCACGGAGCTTGCCACCTGCCCGACTCGCTCGACCTGCTGCAACGTCCTCGAAAAGTGCGTATGAAAATGCAAGTTAATTAAGTTTTTGGCCCTGCATATGACAAATCCCGGCTTAAGCCATCGGGAAGCGGCTTTAATTAATAATTCGAGCACGCGTTTCTTTAATTTTGATCGCCTTGTAGTCAGTCCATTTAAATGGCAGTTGCGGGTGTAAATATATTCATGGAATCCTTCTGCCTGCTGCACTTAATTGCATTTAACTGGCAATTAATTGCGTTGAGCTGGCGAAATTGGTTGCCCGCCAAGCAAGGAGGGTTCCCTGAATTTGTTTTTAAATGCTTTTATGTAAATTCCCATTTAAAAGTCTCAGGCCAATGGGATTATCAGCAAAACCAATAAATGATAATATTTGTTAGGCTGAACAATGGAAAATTCTTTCTCCTGGAAAATATTAGATGAAGCTTATAAAATATCCATATATAAACATTTTTGTGAGGCAGAAATGCGAGTATAGCTGGCAGAATTCATTTGAAATACAATTTGCTTGAGCCAAGCCGAGTCTCTTACAGTTGAATCAAAAAATGAAAAAGATAAAGAAATGGCCAGATTTCAACCAGCAGTTGACCAAAATTTATGGCCCGACTACAAAGCAGAGTGGTTCAAGCCAGTTAGTCCGGGCATAAAAGCTCCTTACAACAAGCCAAAGAGTACGCCAAAAATCCGGGCCCAAATTCAACCACACAGATAGGCCCAAGGACAGAAAATCAGCAAGTGGGCTTATTTGTGGGGCCCGGGGTAAGCATTTTGGCCAGACAGTCGGGATCTGCACTTACCTATCTGCGGCAGCAGCACGTTTTATAATATTTATGCATGTCCCTGCCAACAGGAGATGTGCACTCATAGGGGTTAAAAGGGGGGCTTCAGGGGGTTAACCCGACTAAAAAATAAACCCAACGGGGGCAGCGCCGACTTGGAGTGTGTGTGTAGGGGCACTCCGACATTTGCCAAAAGTAACACTCCACTCTGAAGTGGGCCAAAGCATTCGAAGCGATGCATATCCGAGTGGTAGGCGCATCCGAGAATTACATTTAAAATTATTTTACTTGGCAGTGGTTAGGCTTCAGGGGGCAAGCAAACACAAATACAGCCAAAACAGAAGCCAGGCAACAGATGCCGCAACAACAAAATTAACGAAATAAAAACAAGCCAAGGAAAACAAAACAAGTGCAGCCAGAGCCAGGGAAACACGCACAAAACGCTCGACTGGAGTTGATGTGGCATGGGATTAACCCACTAAGGAACTTCTGATATATGTGGGCGTTTAAACTGATGAGATTTCTTATTTTCCTACATCCAAATTACTTAAATTCAGAATTTGAATATGAAATAACAGCTATTAAATTTCAAGAAATATTTGTATGATTAAATATTGTTCGTTGCATATCAGCGATTTTATTATCCTAAGGTTAATACCAGAAGAAAAATATAAAAAATCTTCTTAAAGATATTTATTGGTATTTTGAGTTTCTAGATTATTTATATTTATTTCCACAAGTGCTACGTTAATAGATCATTGCTTACCTTTTACCCTCCTATAAAAACTCGAAAAACCCGCTGAACTGTTCCCACTTCCTTTGTGAGTAATGGGTTAAGTGCCAGTGGCTGGCAGATAGCTAAGCAGAACATCTCGACGCCCACTTGGCAGTTTGCCTGTTTACACAAGCTCAACATTTTTGACAGTGCCACTCGCAACAAGAGGAACATGTGGAGCAGCTGCGGGAAAAGATTGATCCCTCGCAGCAACGTACAAAAACTGGGAGGGAAAAATGGGAGCAAAAAAATCCGTTCAAGCAATGGCGATTCCCTTGGTCCTTGACTTTTCCTTTGAACTATTGCAGTGGCCGAGACCGTTTGTTTTGCTTATTCCCCATTTGTTGCTTGCTTACAGCTGTCCAAATTTATTACGGCCAAAACAAATCGGTAAACTTTCTATGCCAACTTGCAGCAACTTTCACGTAGAGTTTCCCTGTGCATTCGTTCCTCGTTCGTGTTGGCCTTTTGTCATAAAGCTTAACACATAAAAATGTTATTGTCCGATGTGGAGTTGTGTGGCTTATGCTGATTTGTGTTGACCTAGTAAGCTGGCAGTGCCAATGGCAGCCAGAGAGAAAAGAATCGGAAGAAAGTATGGACTTTTTATGGTCGTAAGGCTGATTTAGGATTCCCAAGTGAAAGCTTTAAGGTCTCGGAACTGAACTGGAGTGATGGGATGAGATGAGATCTGAGTTAGAAAGCTGAAAGCCGTTGCATAGAAAAACCCTGCCCCAATTATTGGGGTGCTCGTAAAACCCTGGTTTGCATAGAGGAATTGTGAGGGAATGTGGCTGGCATAGCTTTACCTATAAATTTAAAGCAACTAATTCCGTTCGGTTGAGATCGCGGAATTTGATTTGAGTTGATAGGTTCTAGTGCGAAGCTAGTCAATTTTATTTTTTATAGAAAAAACTGAAATTTTGAGTTAATGGAAAAAATTCCTAAAACCAATTTGGCAAGCTCATAAATTGTTATTTCCTTTTCATGTTTTGAAGTTTGTCCAAAACGAGTTCGAAGTAAATTTCTTTAATGTTCAAAAACTTGTTCATCAATTTTAAGCCATAATAACAAGCAATTGCCGCAATAATTCCAGCGACTGAAAATTATAATTGTTTCACAAATCAAAGCAAAATTAATGGAAACTTTAGAAGCATCAAATCATTTTAAATTATTCATGTGGCTCCTATTGTCATTGCAAATAAAGTGGCCAGAAATAGCAATTTCATAATTTGAAATGTTTAGAACAGATATTGCAATGCCTTCACGATAATAAATTGCGAATCTTAATTTCTAGATTTGATTTCAAGAGCAGAGAATGAAATGGAATTGCGGTAATAAACTTGAACTACTATATTTTTAATTTTTTAATATTCAGTTTAATTATTACGATTGAATGTGGAATTGGTTAATGAATTTCTATTTTATTTTATTTAAATAGCGTTTATCCTTTAAACTTCATAGGAATACTGCAATGAGTTTATCGACGTCGACTTTTGAAGAATTTAAAAGAATAAATTTAAAACATTATTAATTTGTATTTACTTATTTATTTATTTATTTAACAAATCAAGTTTTACATACAATAAAACAACTTAAAGTAGACTACAAGGCAGTGGCTGCTGAAATCTGGTTGCCCGACTGTGGACTTAGCTTATTAATTATACGTTTTAAGAATATTATTAAAAGTATTAATAAAATTAAAGTTCATTGTAATTTATAGCTTTGCGTTTAGTTTAAAATCTTTGCTTTTTTCATGAAATCATATATGTCGGAGATGGCTGATTTCTTTCCTTTTTTAATAGGCAGCAAGTTCTGTTCGTCCCGGTGGCTCAACGATAACTGATCTCGCCACGCACACTCTAAGCTAATTCACAATTTTGGCAAATCGTAATGCCATCCCTTTTCTACGCCACTACGAACAGACCTTACTCAGCAGCATATCTCTTTTTCTGAACTGCTGTTCGTTCTGAGAACTGTAAGCTTCATCGAATTCCCGTTCAAAATTTTAGATGCCTGCAAACTAACCATTCTTTGCCATTCTTATGCAGTGGGCTAATTTACCATTCTACGACATATATATGTTTTACATTTTTTCTGATCGGAAATATCGGCGCGAATGCCAGCTGGTTCAAAGCAATTGTCTAATAAGTTATTTTATTTAAAGTGGAGTGATTATTTATAATATTTTTTAACCCGAAAAGAAAAATTTTAGTTATTTAAAAGAATCTTAATATTGATTTTATAAAATGAAATCAAGAATTTATTAAATCTCTGTGCTCTACTTAAGCCTAACCCAAATGAAGGAGGAAAACCTTTCAATTAAAAAGAAATACGTATTGTTGTTAGAAACCCAGCCATTGTTTTCCTTATGCTTATGATTTTTAAGCCCAGTTAAACAATGGAGTTACTTTTGTTTTGTTTTTGAAAGCAATGCACTGGAATTCCATTTAGCCAGAACAAAACGAAAAGCAATAAATTTGTGGAGCTTTATTCAAACTGAAAGAGTTACTAACTTGAATAATAAACAAGAGCTGACGTAATGGCGGGCACTTAGCCCTTATCGAGTCCAAAGTTAACCTGTAATTGGTGCACTTGAGCAGTTAACTCCCAATAAGCTCGGTGAAAGCGTTTTGAGGGCTCCGCTCTCGTCGGGAATTACACTTCATTTGCCTAACCAAACTGGCCTCCAAAAAGAGTTTCCCGGCCGGAGTTTGCTCAAAGTTTTAGCTCTTATCTGTTGTCTATCAGGAAATTTTATGCGATTTTGTTTACCTATTTTAATGAGAACCTAAAAATGCTCGCACCAAAGCGGCGATGAGCGAAAGGAGACGGAAAGGAAAACACACAGGCTGGGGGGAAAAGTGGGAGAAGCGAGGAAAGCCCTGGCGAAAAACCAGGTCAAAGCAAACAGAACGAAAGGGCCGAAAATTTATGCAAAACTCAAAAAAAGCAAAACAAACCGGGAACGACTGGAAAAAAGGCACCAAAGTACACACACACATACTTATTCAGGATGCAGGATTCCATGTCCGAAATGAAAGTGCGAATGCGAGTGTGTGTGTTTGTAGGTGTGTAGAAATGGCGTGTATTGTATCAAATTTAAATGCACAACAGTAAAATAATGAATTCTTTTGTTTGTATTTGCATCTGGGCCTGTTGTTGTTGATGGGCGCGTTGGAAGGACCAAAATACAAAACACAAAATACAACATTCAAAATACCAAGCACAAACGAGCAAGCAAGCCAAACCCAAAAACACAACAATGAAAGGCGAAAGAACACACACGTCACTGGTACAGAGAAAACAAATTGTGTCAAAGGTCAAACGGATGTTTTTCGAGACCATCTTGGTTTCTTCTGCGTTTTTAAAAATTTGTGACTTGTATATATTTCGCTTAAATTTGCAAGACATCAAGCTTTGTTATTAAGTTATTTCATCAGTCGATAAAAATTTTATTTACA